CTTCAGCAGTATTTTGCTTGCATGTGACATCAATGACATTGTTTGATAGTTCCTACATTTAATTGGATTGCCTTTCTTGAGAATAGGAAAAAATATGGACTTCTTCCAATCCTTTGGCTGAACAGCTGTCCTCCAAAATCCTGGAATAGAGTGGTGAGTGCATCCAAGGCTTTATATGTTAATTGAAACAAGTCAATTGGTATAGCAATTCCTGCGGCTTTTAAAAAAAATTAATTTTCATGAACAGTTACAGAGATTTTCAATTTCTGTACATTCGTTGTTGCATTTTCCTCCCTGTCCACCCCTCCACCAGTTAACTCTTTTCTTTGAAAAGTGAAAGAAAATTTATTTCATTGACACAGAATCCCCCCACCGTGAGTCCACTCCACTATGCAACCTGCAACCTTCATTCTGGACTCCTGTCAAAACCATAATACCCAATCATATATCACTTTCAAACAGTCCTCTCCCTCATCTTTTCCAATGCAGTATACATAATTCATCCAGTTTTTCTCAGTCTCACTCCAACCCCGATGTCAGTCCTGTTTTATAACAGTGGCACCATGCAGTATTTGTCCTTTTGTGACTGAGATGTTTCACTTAGTATAATGTCCTCCAAGGTCACCCATTTTGAATATTGCATGAGTTCCTTGGTTTTCAATGCAGCATAGTATTCCATTGCGTGCATATACCTATCTCTAGCTATTCATTTGTTGATGGGCACTTAGGTTGTTTCCAACTCTTTCCTATTATGAACAAAGCCACAATAAACATGGGTGTACATATATCTGCCTGGGTAGCAGTTATGGTTTCTTTGGGGTATATTCCCAGTAATGGAATTGCTGGGTCAAATGGTATTTCTATTTGCAACTTTTTGAGAGAGTGCCATACAGCCTTCATAGCAGTTGCACCATTTTACACTCCCACCAACAGTGCATAAGGGTTCCACTTTCTCTGCAACCTTGCCAACATTTGCTGTTTGCTGCTCTATTAAATTTTGCTATTCTTACAGGATGAGATGATACCTCATAGTTGTTTGGATTATGGACCTAGGACTAAAATCAAGGACTATACACTTCATTAAAGAAAAGCTTGGAAGAACACTAGAAGTCCTAATCCACAACCTAAACAGTCTTCCAAGCATCCTGAAAAATCTACAACCAGGACAGGATAAAATAGATGAATGGGACCTTCTAAGAATCAAATGCCTATGCACCACAACAAGATAAAGGTAAATAACCCAACTGAAAAGTGGAACACAGACACTTCACCAAAGAAGACATCCAAATGGTCAACAAATATATGAAAAAATGTTTTGTTTTGTTTAGTTTTTAATGCTTTCAATGCAGCTTCTACTTCCTCTTTCATTACCATTGGCTTCTGTTCATATGGTACTTCCTGGATTTTTTTATTGTTTACCAATACTTTCTGGTACAGTGACTCTATTTCCTCCATCTTCCCCCCTCCCCCCTTTTTTAAATGTTTTCCAGGTCATTCAATGTATTGCCCATAGCATCTTTCAATATTGAGACACAAGACTTAAATTCGTTTTTCAGTTCTTCCAGCTTGAGAAATGCAGAGTTCTTCTCTTTTTATTCTCTAATTCTAGGTATGCACATTCCATTACAATACTTTGTCCACCAGAAATGCCCTTTGAAATATTCTTTTTCAGCTATTTCACTTTGACATATTTTCCTTTTATTTTGGCTTCATGATGCTCCAGTGTAATCTTTAGAGTCTCTTCTGACATTCATTTTGATTTTTTTTTTCTTTCTCTTATGAATTTTGTAATGACCTTTTGCTTTGTTCATGGATGATATCAAGGATATCTGGTTTTTGATCATTGGTATTCAATGTCTCAAACTTATCCTTAGGATGATCTTGAAAATCAAATGGAATTGATTTAAGAACATATCTTGGTTCCTGTGAACTTATTTTCATACTCTTTGGCCTCACTTTGAATTTGCACATGAGTAATTGATGATCTAACCTGCAGACTGTCTCTGGCCTAGTTTTGACTTCTTATATTGAGCTTCTCCATCTATTTTTTCCAGAAATATATTCAATATGATTCTTAAGGAGCCCATCAGGTGAGATCCACATGTAAAGTCATCGTTTGTATATTTTAAAAAAGGTATTTAGAGTGAATAAATCCCTGTAAATACAAAATTCAATCATTCTATTTCTAGCTTCATATTTTTTCTTTTTTAATTTATTATTAATTTCAATGAAAATTTACAGAGACTTTGCATTTCCATTCATTCACTGTTGCACTTTTGTCCCCTCCCAACCCTTGTCCCAGTACACTACCCTCTTGGAAAAGTAAAAGAAAAATTCTTTCATTGTTTTACAATCCCTCCCTCCAGGTCCACTCCACTGTGCAGCCTTCACTCTGGAACCTCGTCATGACAAAAATACATAATCACATATCCCTTTTAATAGTTTACTCCCTTATCTGTTCCAATACAATTTACATTATTGAACCCATCTTTCTCAGTCTCCCCCCAACCCCAATGTCAGTCCTGTTTTACAACAATGGCACCATGCAGTATTTGTCCTTTTGTGACTGAGATACTTCTCTTAGCATAATGTCCTCCAGAGTCACCCATTTTGAATAATATTGCAGAAGTTCATAAGCATTTTATTTTAAGAACTACCTTCCCTCTGTAACTTGATTTGTGCCACTGTTACAACCTCTACTTGGAATTATTATTGATTTTAATTTTTGACTCATATACTTAACTTGTTAGTTAAATTTGTATCTTCTCGGCTGCAACAGTTCCATGATGCATCTTCAAGGATATGAACATGCATGGCTAAGCACAATTGATAACAGGGCATCTAAATTCCAAAATCAATCTCCACAATAGTCTACTTGTTTCCTATTGGCAAAGGGACCCTTTAGAGTAGTGAAAGAATATCTTCACCCTGAAACCTACAGCATCCCTTTTCAGCAGGAAATAGCTAAGAGAATATGTCATCCCCTTTTCCTTATGAATTAGGGTTTAAATCTCTCTCAGGGAGGAGTGATAGGGAATGTCAAAGTACACACTGACAAAGGAGATTAATCATAACTGGTTTTGACAAGCACTGTGGCAATGGAACAATTAAAACAGACTTTCAAGGAAAAAAAAGGAGGGGGAAAAAAGGAACTCATGCAATATTATTCTAGTCTCATTTTTATAACCACGCCCATATTTTCCAATGACTATTCCTTCTTCATTGTTTCCTACTTTTGTATTCCACACACTAATTATCATTAACACATTTTAATTGTATGTTCAGTCAAGGTCAGACTGAAAGATTTGGTAAATTTTTTCCTCTGGCTCTAGATGTAGGAGTGTATATTTGAATAATAGTCATGTTAATGGGTTTTCCTTGTATGCATATGGATATTATCTATCACTCACAACATTGTATTTCAGGACAGAACTTGAAATTGACTTTTTTATTATGAATGCAACACTATTCTCCTTCTATTTTTCATTCCCTTCACAATATACCATATGATTATCTGATTCAAAGTGGCCAAAGCGTGTCCATCACTTCTCCTATGTCGATATTCATAAGTTCCGTTTCATTTTTAACAATTTCCAGTTTTCCAACATCCAAGTTATTTATATTTCATGTTCTAATTATTAAACAATGTTTGTTATTGTTTTCCCTCATTTCAACTGACTTCCAACCTGAGCTCTACCACTACAGTACTATAACTATTCTCTTTCTTTAGTGTTTATAGGGTTTTCAAAGATCTGTTATTTAGGAAGTAGATGGTCTAGCCTGCTTACTAGTCTCTCTTAATCAGAGAGCTCCACCAAAACCTGTCCACCATAGGTAACTCTTATGATATTTGACACACCATGGGCACAGATTTCAGGATCACAGCTGAGAGACCCAAGAGATTCCATTTTGTAACCTGTACACCATGTTAAAGTGTGTGGGCAGCTAGCCAGTTCCAGGAAAACCAAAAACTGAAAAGCGGGAGTAAAACCCCCACCAGAAAAGAAGCCAATCACAAAACAGCTGGAAAGTCCCCAGTTCCCATTTGCCTACCCCGTTTTCTCGCTCTTTTCCTTTGAATCAGACAATCCTGAAGCACCCTGTTTTCATGGGCTTTCCCCTTTAAACAGGCTTGATGCCCCGGATTCAAGGCAGCTGCCCTTTTCCCCACATTGATGTAGTCGGATGTGGGGCCCAGATTGGAATCCGAAATAAATCCCCTCTTGCTTTTTGCAATCATTTGTTACGCATCAGAGAGTTGGACAATGACCAAGGAGGATAGAAAAAGAATTGATGCCTTTGAGCTGTGGTGCTGGAGAAGAGTATTGAGGGTACCATGGACTGCTAGGAAAACAGTTTCATCCCGGAGAGGATTAAACTGGACTGCTCCTTGGAGGCAAGGATTCTGAGGCTCCGTCTAACATACTTTGGACATGTTGTAAGGAGGGACAGGTCCTTGGAGAGGGACATCATGCTTGGTAAGGTGGAGGGACAGCGCAGAAGGGGAAGGCTCTCTATGAGGTGAATTGATTCAGTGACTGCGGTAATCAGGATGGATGTATCAGAGACTGTGCGATTGGCACAGGACAGAGCAAAGTTTAGGGTTGTTGTACATACGGTCGCTATGAGTCGCAGGCGACTCGAAGACACATAAAAACAACTTGCTCTTGCATCGGTGTCGGCTCCTTGGTGACTTGGGGGGGAACCGGATTTGGGGCATAACACAGCAAATTCAAGTTATCTCAGTACAGCAAACTGACGGATAAGTGCTATGCTACTGAGAGCAATGTTCTCCACAAACACAATTAATACCAGTTAATAAATGTCCATTTTACACCCAGCTTTCAAATAAAAAACACTTACCCTCTAGAATCCAACTGTACCAAGCTCGAGACTACTAGCACGTTCAAATACCTAAGTCATACTAAGCTGAACACTTTCTAAATTGCTATTGTATTATTAGGAAGACTTGAAATTAATATTTCAAATGTGTAACATACCTGATAGCTTTAAGTGTGAGTAAAAAATCCTTCAGTAATAAATATGCGTCACCTCCATGTATCCTAAACAAAGTAATTTTAAAATTAATGATATATAAACATTAGAGAACTTTATACTCACTTCAGATATTAAATAATGTGACATTATTTTATTTAAAATTTTTTAAATACTAGTCATGAATACACAGAATAAGAATAAATAGAAATATCTCTGAGTATGTGTCAACATTTTTATACTTAAAATACCTTTATGTCAAGTAAGTCAGTCTAAGGGTCAAAAGTTTGTCAGCAAACCACAAACACAGTTGACACAGAATTTGCTGTTCACTCTTGCCATTAACCAGAAGAAAATATTCCAGGATAATGAACTCTCTGTTAACATTGGGGGTGGGGGAATGTAGGGGAAAGTGGGTTTTGTCTTAAATTGTTTAACAGTCATTATATGGATAGCAAGATAGTAGATGATAAATAGATAAAACATACCTATTGTCCTGAGCTAATCCTTTCAAGGAGCCATGTTTATAAAAATCAAGAATATAAGCATTAAGTGGCATTTTTCTTCCTTGTCTATCAAATCTTTGTGACCACAACACAGGAATTTGATTGCCATTAATACCAATGGTATGCAGAATGACCTGAAGAAATAATTTTCCTTTAATGTGTCATTTATGTATAAGCCGTTGAATAATATTTTATACTGGGCTTTGTAGTTAACGTTAATCAATGTTTTTAAAGTGCATTACGAAAAAAGAAGTGTGAAGATGACAGTTTCAACTATTTGCATTGTATATTCCCAGCAAGATTTACTAAGAAAGAAAAGTTAACTTAAATATGTGTAATTATCCTAATTTTTTTTACCTAATTTGCACCATGTTATCAAGGAACTTCTATATGACCACAAAAGGAGAATTAAAATTTAATAACTCCAGTAGTCTCTAAAACACAGTAATCAGTAAGAGGAAAGAAGAAGGAAAAGACGGAATAGAATGAAGGAGGGGCAGGGAGAGGAAAAAAAGAGGACGAAAGAACATAGGAGGAAAACGAACAATAGAAGTGGAGAAAATGAAGTAAGATTTCTGGGTCTTTCATTTTTCTTTTTTTACAAACTATATACTTGATAACCTATGAACATGGAGAGAGGATGAAAGGCACCCAAGCGTCGGGAACTCTCCTTTATAGGGTTGCTGTGAGTTGCCTGAGACTCAAGGCACTTTAACAACAACATACTTGATAAAGTAACTAATAACTATGGTATATAGCTAGTGGGTGTAGAAATCATGGACAACTCCTTTTTAAAACTCTGTTGGCTTGGTATTAATGAGCTGTGCTTCCAACCCAAAGGAATACAGTTCCAATCCACATGTTGGTGCACCAGATAGAGACAGGCCCGGCACTCTCCTCCTGTGCAATTAACTGCCTCTGAAAACCCCCTGGAGCTTCAGCTGTGAGTTGGTTCTGACTTGATGGTACACAACAACAACAACAACAACAACTTTCTAAAATGATTTGGTAGTGTCTTGGGATGATGAATATTCTTATTCTCATGACCCAGAAAATTATTAAAAGAAAATTTAGCACGTGTGTACCAGATGCTCAAAGCAACCTTGTTGGTAATAATAAAGTCTTGAAACAAAAATATTCATCAGTTGTAGAACTGACGAAGTGACTTTTTCTATTAACTTATCAAATATTATGGTGATTTATTGAAAATAAAATAGGGCTTAATTTAACAGCAAACATGGTGAATCACAAGAATATTAAGTTGTTTGCAGAAAAAACACCATTTAAACTACCACATGAAATACTCATTTTCTTTTTTAGAACCAAAACCAAAAGGTAAACCAAAACAAACTGTCTTTTGGGTCCATATAGCCTTAAGGATTTATGAAAACTTCTTAAAGGGAATTATAACATAAGTAACTGTTAGGAAGTAATTTTCATATCTTTAATTTCCCAGATATGCACACTTTTCTAGAATTAATCTGCTTGGGAAATTACCTACAGTGAAATGTCTTACAGGGTCTCCTTCCTCATCTCTTCTTTCACTAATTCTTTTCTTTCATTTTACAAAGCAAATACCCCCTTTATAAACACAGTAAGGTATATAGGAAGTTACACTGTCAACCCAACAGCACACAGTTTGAACCAATTGGTTGCTCCATGGGAGACACATGGGCAATATTCCCCAGTGCAGGTAACTGCCTCTGAAGACCCCTTTGGAGTGTCAGTTATGGGTTGGTTACAACTCTATAGTATATAACAACAACAACATGGTATATTTATCTGGTATTTAATAACATATAGGGTAATAAATGGAGATTAAGAAATGGATTCTTTTATACCTGGATAATTATAATTACTGACACCAAAAAACTGAAGGTAGATCTAATAAAATAGTTAATGAGCATATAATTAAAAGCATAAAAACAGCCTTTCTTATACAACAATTGGCCTCTATTCCCTAAAAGCAGTAATGACAATGGAGTAAGTGATTAAAGGAGGAAATGGTATAAGAAGTATGTATTTGCCTCCATGAAAACTGTCTCCTAGGTAATAATATCAGTCAGAACTGAAAGTGCCCTGTTACCAATATTAGCATTTTAATAAAAAATTATATAGAAGAATTCTTAGCTAAAAGGGGAAATACACAGAATAAAATTCAATTTTTTATGCACTCTGATTTTCTAGAACAATGGAGGTGAGGTGAACCTCTGAAATTATTGTTTTGATTTTAATCTTTACACCAAAAATATCCATCGGAGTCTTGTTAAAATTAAACAATAGCTTAGCTTAACTCTTAAACAATATCTGCTCTGAGAGTTATGTTCTTGTGAGATCTACCCATATAAGATTAAATTGACCCCATCAATTTGAGAGCTTAGATAAGAAATCTAGGAATCAATGAAGTTTATTAATAGAGGAAATAACTCAGAAAAGTAGGGTGAGAAGAGATGTACAACTTAAAGGATGTAAGAATTTTTAAAGTAGAGTAAGCTTTAACTGCATAGTCTCATAACAAAAACAAAACTGTAATAAATTATAGTAAAAATTGATGATAGACTACTAGGTGATTTTGGGGAATGTAATTAGGAAAAACAGAAGAAAATACCGTGACATTTTTATAATAAAACTCCTCCATTCAAATAAAGATTGTTACCACTCGTAAAATTGATGTTTAACTTAGTTTTACTTTACAAGTAATATTCATCTTTGAATATATGTACTAATTTAAAAATTTATTTCAGTAGAACATTTATTAATTTACTTGAAATACAATAAACATACTGTATTACTTTTATATGTACTAATTACCTATTAAATTTGCTTTATATTTAAGTTGCTGAGATTTAAAAAAAAAGTTTCTTTTTAGCTGAGAAGGATGATAGGGGAATTTCCAAGGTAAAAAAAAATATATTACATGAAGGCAAAGCCTATTAATATTGTGAAATGCAAATGCAACTTTAAAAGGAAACTACACAAATTTTAAAACTCTTATTTCAAAAGATTATGATTAAAAAGATAGTTGATGATTATGGGTAGGAAAACAACCGTGGATTTATATATCTACTATTGTTTAGTACCATAGAGTCAGAACTGACCCTCTGATGGGTGTTCAGAGGCAGTTAACCAATCACACGGGAGTAGATTATCCATCCTTCTCCTGCAAAGCTGGGAGCTTCAAACCACATCCCTTCAGGATTGCAGCACATCTTCTTGCCACTATGCCACCAGATCTCCCTTATATATCTACTACTCTATTATTAATTACCTCATTAGCTGACATTTTGCATTTTAACAACAGTATAAAATCCCTTTATCTGATAGTTTCGCATATTAATGACATCTCTCTAAGAATAACAAAAGCTGAAGTAAGAGAAAAAATTACACTGGCTGTGACAGTTATAGTTGTGTGTTTGACTGATGGGGTCATGATTATCAGTGATTTGGTGTTCACATGGAGATGAAATTTAGAGGACATGTAACAATATAATTCAATATTTATGCAACCATTCTCCAATTTTTGAACTGATTTTGAAGTGTTTTCTAGGCTTTCTAGTAGGGTAAATCAATTCTCTCTTAAACACTATTTATTAAGCCCATACTCCACGTACTTGGTTTATAGTATGTGGTTCAAGCAAATCAGCATCTGTGTTCCCAGAAAGGCAAACAAATGGTGAAATGGCCTTTCTTCCTTCCTTGCAGTTCATCAAGTGAGACACAAGCTGGGAGTCTTCACATTGTTTACCTGTGAAATCTGAAAAGATTGAAATGAACTAGTTTGTAAACATCAAGCCTAATGTACTTGTTATAGATTATATTGTAAGAAAAATTGCTCATGTCTCAAGACAGACATCATAATGAAGACTGAGAAAAATACACCACATGTAACGATTAGAACAATAATAACATAAAGTGAGTGGCACAGATTACATTCACTAAATGTTAGCTCTGAATGTTATTACCATCATCATCAAACTTTGTCATTTACTGAGTTAGTTTCAGCAACAACAAATGAAGATTAACTTGTATACTCTTTTAAACAGAATTACTATTAATAACTTGGTATTTTTTTACACTGAACCCAAACTTTCCCAGAATCTACCTAGATAGGATGTTACATGCATTCTCTATAAGCGGATTTGGAAATAACATGTGAAATTAACTGTATCCTTCATTCTGCTCTGATAAAGCATCAGACCATACATTCAAGCTGGGCTCCAATCTGTAGTGGCGACAGAAGATTCACACACTGTTATCATGCCTTCTTCTCCCTGATGCTTACAGCACCATTACTGCCAGTTTTTGTTCATTCCATTCTTATGTTTAATAACAAGGAATTACAAAGAAAAACAAGCAGGTAATAGCAAGCTCCACTTTTTTTTTTTACTTATTTCACTTAAAATATTAAGACATGGTTGTTGTTTGCCGTCGAATCAGAACCAACTCATTGATTCTGCAGTGGGTTTTCAGAGACACATGGAAATATCCTTTTCCTGTGAAGCAGCTGATGGATTTGAACTGTAGTCCCTATGGATTGTAGCACAACTTCTTAAAAAAGTAAATTTATATCATTGCTGAACCATTTCCCTTTATTAACAACTGTGGTCTGTTTTCTGGTTTTGTTTTCTCCTTTTATATTCTTTCCAGAGATTTCCATATAATAACTTATGAAAAATAAAATCAAGCACTAATAATGTTTTAACAATAATGGTTTAGTAGTTAGGACTTAGTGCTGCCAACCCAAAGGCATGGGGTTACAATCCACCAGCTGCCTCATAGGAGAAAGATGATGTGGTGTTACCTTAAAAGTAGGTGTTTTTAGCCATTTTGTTAGCCCTCTCTTGTCTCCAGCTACCCTAACTGTAGACACAGGGTCTTGCAAATCCTCAACACTAGTGGGACTAGAATGCTTCTCACAATGAGCAGCAAGGCTTGAGGAATACTGGAGCAAGATCCTGGTGAAAGTGAAATGAGAGCAAGACCCTGGAGGTGAGACCTTAGTGATGGTGGTGGACAAACTGTGGTATTGCTGTGGAGAAATGGCGGCAAGCTATAACCAGAGGGCCCCTGAGATAAAGCTACAGTTAAAGTTTTACTGTTCTTACCAGATGGTGGAAGGAAAAGCTGACTACTGAACTGAAACTAGAACCTAGACTAACTTGTGCCTTGGGACTGCTGGGCTGAAACTTAGACTTACATTTAGTGATATTCTTTGTCTTTTTAACTATTCAACTTACTTCCCTAATAAACCCATCTCTCAGTGCTGTAACTGTCAGTAAAGTCTGTGAGTCAACAATGAATGTTGAACCCAATAGCTGGTTGAAAGGAGTGCAGGAGCATAGGGGATGCATGTCTAACTCAGCAGCTGTTTACTGTTGTGGATATTATTGATGTGGACAGTTCTCCTTTATGAAGTGCTTAGAGGTCAGAATCTGCTACCACCACCACTTTCACATTCTGTCTCTCCTTTCATAGATGGGGCATTTCCCATGCAATTTACAGCCTCTGAAAAAACACTGGAGAGTCAACCATGAGTTGGTTCTGGTTCGACAGTACATAATAATAACAACAAAAATGCTTCTGTCAAGCATGGTTTAAAGATACTGGTTTCTACTAATTTATTCAGTCCAAGATTATAAAAAAGTAGATGATTCTCATTCCTATAAAATTTTATATATATAAAAATATTGCCATTCATATATTTCCATACATTAAAAATACTTCCATATTAAGAAATATTTCTAAGTAGAGATAAAATAAATATTTCCAATTATATTGTAATAATAAATATTTCCATCATTGTTGTTATGTGCCTTAGAGTTGGAATGATTGTCCAGCAGGTGTTCAGAGGCAGTTAATCACATGGGAGGAGATTTCCCATCCTTCTCCCACAGAGCAACTAGTAGATTCAAAATTTGTGTCTTCAGGATTAGAATTTGTCTTTGATCTCTCTGCTAATAGGAACCAGAGTTTATATCCTTTCAGGAAAATTTACAGAAGAGAGTCTGTTTTCTCTTCATCTTATATGTATTCTGACTTCAATTTCTATACTTAACCCAAAAGCAAACTCTTATTGAGATAGTTTTTAAATTACTATACTTTCACTACTTTCTAATAATTATAAAGTTTCTTTGTTTGGAAACCAAAAAACGATTCTATTTTAAATCAGTTTGACCAAGACTACACTTTGGGGGTTAATTTCAATAGCTTGTTACTAAGTACAGTTGACCCTTCCTATTTTCTCTTAATTCTTCTGGGAAAAATGCATTTACACAGCATTATTTATCTTTTCCATTGTTTCATAATGGAATTAAAATACACTTACCGATATTTGACAGTGGTAGTTGATATTCCTGTTTCATATCAGCCAGTTTAGAAACAATTAGTAGAAATGAGACAAAATCCTTTGTCACATTCATATTATACTCAAGTAAAGCTGCATTAAAATCTTCTGGGAGATCATCAAGGAAAACCTAGAGATCAAATATTTTTCAGAAATATCTATATACTTTCATAAAAATATTAATTTTGGGAAAGCAGAGAAAAAATATTACAACACAATTGTGGAGCTTTCTATTTAGCAGTGCTGCTACTTTGTTCCTTCATTTGAAATAAAATTTACTTTTAGTTTCTATTTGTATTTATTGAATACTTTTAATCTGATCAAAATGCTTTGATCCTCCTTAAATAAAACATAAGTTTGAATAGTAGCTTGATTCCAGTGACACTAGTTATATGAGTATCTCAAAAGTTGAATGATACGTTGGAAAGAAAGTCACAAGTCAGAACATCTTTCCCCCCCCCCTAATTAATTTTAATGAACGTTTACAAAGACTTTGTATTTCCATTCATTCATTGTTACACTTTTCTCCCTGCCCATCTCTCCCCCTAATTCACTCTTCTCTTTGAAAAGTAAAAGAAAATTATTCCATTGTTTTACAATCCCACTCCCCAAGTCCACTCCATTATGCATCCTTCATTCTGGGCTCCCGTCATGACAATAATACCTAAACATATATTCTTTTTTAAACTTTTCTCTCCCTCATTTGTTTCAGTGCAGTATACCTTATTTATCCCCTCTCTTTTCAGTCTTCCCTCAACCCCGATGTCAGTCACATTTTACAACTGTGGCACTATGCAATATTTGTCCTTTTGTGACTGAGATATTTCACTCAGCATAATGTCCTCCAGGGTCATCCATTTTGTATAATATTTCATGAGTTCCTTGTTTTTTAATGCAGCATAGTATTCCTTTGTGTGAATATACCAGAGCTTCTCTATCCATTTGTTTGTTGATGGGCACTTGGGTTGTTTCCACTCTTTGATTGTGAATAAAGCCACAATAAAAAAATGGGTGTGCATATATATGCTTGGGTGGAAGTTATGGTTTCTTTAGGGTATATTCCCAGTAGTGTAATTGCTGTGTCAAATGCTATTTCTAGTTGCAACTTTTTTAGAAAGCTCCATACAGCCTTCCATAGTGGTTGCACCATTTTACACTCCCACCAATAGCGTGTAAGGGTTCCAGTTTCCCCGCAACCTCGCCAGCATTTGGTGTTTGCTGTTCTGTTAAATTTTGCTATTCTTACTAGAGTGAGATGATATCTCATAGTTGTTTTGATTTGCATCACTCTTAGAGCTAGGGATTTTGAACATTTCTTCATGTGCTTGTTGGCCATCTGAATGTCTTCTTTAGTAAAGTGTCTGTTCATATCCGGTGTCCATTTTTCAAAACATCTTTTTATACTTCAAATAAATGTCACTTACTCATATTTGAAGATTTAGCTGAATTCATTTGGTGAATATTTTGTTAGAAATTTTTTTTATTAATTTAGTTTGTTTATTTTTCATTTCAATGAACATCTACAGAGATTTTGGAATTCTATTCATTCATTGTTGCACCCTTCTCCCCACACAAACCCCTCCCCCGCCCCGTTTGCTCCTCTCCTTGTAAAGCAAAAGAAAAACTCTTTTTCATCAAAAAATAAAGAAGCAAGGAGATCTGGTGACACACAGGGTAAGGAGTTGTGCTCCTAGTCCAAAGTCAAGGTGTTCAAACTCACGAGCTGTTCCAAGGGAAATTAATGGGCAATCTTTTTCCATGCAATTTATTAAAAATCTACTGTAGTATAAGCTGTCAGTTGGATCAAACTTAACAGCAGTCATTTATGAAACATGACTATTTCTAAATTTACAGTTTGTAAGTTATTTTCCAGATATTATGTTAAGATTAAGCTGTGTTCATAGAGTAAGTTAAATATCCCTTCATTCTCTATTTGCCAAAAGAGTTTGGAGCAACCTGGTTGCTCGGTAGGACAAGCACTAAGTTGCTAAACAAATAGTCAGTAGTGCAAGCCCACCAGTTACTCTTTGGAAGAAAAACGGAGGTAATCAGCTCCCAAAAGGTATATAGCTGTTAAAACACTAAGTGTTGTTGTTAGGTGCCTTTCAGTGGACCCTATCAATAACAGATCTCAATCTCAATCTTGCTCTACCCTGCACCATCCCCATCATCTCTGATACACTTGAGCCCATTTTTACAGTTATTTGTGTCAACTTATCTCATTGAGAGTTTTCCTCTTCTTCATTAACCCTTGGCTTTTCCAAGCATTAATGTCCTTTTTCAAGGACTGCTCCCTCTTAAATTCCAAAGTATATGAAATGAAGCTTCACCATTCCCATCATTAAGGGACTTTCTCTAAGACATGCTTATTTGTTCTGCTGGCAGTTCTTAAGATAATCAGTACTCTTCTCCAACACCATAACTGAAAGGTATTAATTTTCTTCTGTCATCTTATCATTGTTCACCTTTCAGAGACATAGCAAGTAATCAAAATTGCCACCAAGGCCTGGATCAGGTGCACTTTAGTTTTTAAACTAATATTAAGTCTATGTGACTTGACAACACTTACAACAAACAACATATCAGAAAATGTCACTATAAATTGATATTGACTTGACAATAGGTTAGGTTGATTTACAAGAATTTGGAGATGGTTGATGTTACTCCTTAAGTGTTGTTGTTGCTGTTGTTAGGTGCTGGTAGCTTGACTCCCACACAAGTCATCCTATAAAGAGCTGAATGAAACACAGCCATTCTTGTGCCATTCTACAATCGTTATGAACATAAAGCCATTATTGAAAATACTGTCTCAATTCTTCCACTGAAAACTTCCTCTTTTTTCTAGCCTTCTGCTTTAAGAGCAAAACTCTTCCTCAGGGACCTGCTGTTCATATTGTTATGTTCCTTTGAGTCACTTGGACTCATCGTGACCCAATGTACAACAGCTCTGTATCTTGCTTTGTCTTTACCCAAAATCATTGTTTCTGACAAACTTACCCCCATTACCCCAGTTACTGAGTCACTCTATCTCAATGAGGGTCTTCCTCCTTTGTGCTGTCCCTCCACCCCTCCAAGCATGATGTCCCTCCCTAAGGACTGGTCCCTCCTTGCAACATGCCCAAAGATGTCAGATGGAACTTCAAACTCTTTGCTTCCAAAGAGGAGTCTAGCTTAACTCTTTCCAGGATGAACCTGCTTGTTCTCCTACTCCTAACATCATGTTAAAGGCATAAATCTCAAGATGTTTGTTACTAAGGAAGATCATAGTTATATTATTCAAGGCCAGATTTGTTTGTTCTCCTGGAAGTCCAGAGTATATTCAATATTGTTCACCAAAATTATAACTGAAAGGCATCAATTACTTCTTTGGTCTTGTTATTTACTGTACAACTTTCACATGAACATGAGACAATTGAAAGTACCATGGCTTGGCCATGGCATATCTTACTCTTCAAAGTAATATTCTTCTTCTTTAGTGATTTAAAGAAGTATTATCCAGAAAATTTACCCAATTAAATATATGATTTAATTCTATGACTGATAAACCTATGAGGATTGATTTTGAATCTGAGTAAAAGAAAATTTTTTATATCTTCAATCTTTTCTCCATTTATCATGATGTTTCTTAGTGGTCTAGTTTTGAGACATTTTGTTTTCTCTGTTGAGGAGTAATCCGTACTGAAGTCTGTGCACTTTATGTCACTAAGTTCTTCATCCCTAAGTGTATTATTATAACAAATTATGGATAACATTGAGGAGAATGGGCATTCCAGAACACTTATTTGTTCTTATCTAGAAACTGTGAAGGGACCATGAAGCTGTATTTAAACAGACCATAGTACAAAGTTTAAAGTCATTGAAGAGATTATGTGGTTATTTATAACATATTTATTGTCTGTATGATGAACAAATAATCTGAGTTTCTAAAATTTATGAAGAAGGATGTGGTATCAAGAGTAGAGGAAGAATCCTTCATGAACAACCTGCAATATGTCATGGGAAAAATACTAAATGACATGAAAAGTATAAAAAGAAAATGAAAGGAATACACATTCATTGTAAAAAAAATAATAATAATTGTCTGATGGCACCATTTCAAGATGTGACATATGATCAAGAACTGATGGCAATAAAAAAGGAATTTCAAGGTGTTCTAAAGGAATTGGAAAATGCAAAGACCCAGGAGTTGATGGGATGCCAATTGACATATTTCATCAAACAGATACATCCCTGCATGTGCTTAACAGGATTTGCCGAGAAATTGGAAGACAGCTACCTCATCAACTGACAGGAAGAGATCCATATTTATTCCCATTACCCCAAAAAAAAGAAAGTTATCTAATAGAATGTGGAAATTATTGAACAACATCATTAATATCACATACAAATACAATCTTGCTGAAGATTATTCTAAAGCAGCCAGAGCAGTATATTGACACAGAAATTCAAGAGGGATTTAGAAGAGGCTGTGGCACTAAGGATATCCTTGCTGATGTCAGATAAATCTTGGCAGAAGTCAAAGAATACCAGAAGGATGTCTGTGTTTTATTTACTATGTAAAAGCATTTGATTATGTATATCACAATAAATTGTGGCAAGATTGAGAAGAATCGGAATCCCAGACACTTAATTATGCTCATGTAAAACCTATCATCATAGGCAAAGAGCCTGTGATGCTAACACAGCAAGCACCACCTGGTTCAAAGTCTAGAAAATTGTGTATCAGAAATATATTCTTTCTCTATAACTGCTCCATTTGCATCCTAGACAAATAATTCAAAAAGCCAGAGTTTATGAAGAAGAACGTGGCTTCAAGTTTAGAGGAAGATTCATCAGCAGTCTACATTATGCAGCTGATACACCCTTGCTTGGTTAGATTGAGGAGGACTTGAAAATACTTACTGCAGAGAATCATAGATTGTGATCTTTAAGATGGAGTACATCGCCACATCAAGAAAACAAAACTCTTCACCCCTAACCCAATAGGTAGCACCACAATATATGGAGAAGAGATTGTAAATTGTCAACAATCTTTGGACTAGAAGTTAAGAAATCAAAAAGTAAGTCACTTTGGGAAATCTGTTGTCAGGACATCACCAGAGTAGTAGATAGCAATGTTGTTAGCTTAAAGACTAAGGTGCACCTGATCCAAGCCATAGTCTTCTCAGTGGCTTTCAATGTGTCTGAAAGTTGGACAATAAAAAAAGATGAGAGAAAAACTTATGCTATTAAGTTTGTGTTGTTGGAGAAGAGTACTGAATGGACTCTTCCCATGGACACGGAGAAAGTGAAACCAGGGTGATCTTTGGAAGGAAGGACGGTGAAACTTTGGCATGTTTTTAGGAGGAGTTAGTCCTTGGAGACGGATAGCATGCTTAGAAGGATGGAGGGTCATCATGACAGAGGAAGACTTTCAATGAAATGGACACAGGATCGAGCTCAAGTGTGTCAGAGATGGGTCAGGATAGGTTAGTATTTAGATCTATTGTTCATAGGGTCATTATGAGTCACCATTGACTCAATGGTATATAATAAAAAGAAAACTAGAGTATATTATTAGTGGTATTGTGTTGCTATAATGATAAGGAACCATGACCAAGAAAAAAAAATAGTTGTCTTACTTCTGTTTCTGTGAGTGAAAGGATGCATTCTTTGATTAAACAATTACAATGATGGCATGCATTATGGCTCACAATATACACATCCTTCCTAAAGCTCCATACCAAAATAAAATAATCCAAGACAACCATAAATTCTACCGTGCAGATTGTTTTCTCCTCTTAAAAAAATTTGCTGTTATTATTCACCATTGCAAAAACATGGAAATAGCCAAAATGTCCAACCACAATTGAATGGATTGAGAACTTATGGTAGAATAACATAATGGAATACTACGTAGAATACAAGAGCATTAATTTTGTAAATTACTACCTAACTTGGGAGGGGCTAGAGAGCATTATTCTAAGTAAACTAACTCAGTCCCACAAGGACAAATACTATATAAGACGATTACTGTAGAAAATGTATGAGAATCCAAGAGGAGGGGAAAGAGGAGGAAGGATGGGGATTGATTTAATCACAGGGTCAATTTGATGGGTGGGGGAGGGATGGGAAAGATCTGATGTGAATAACAATGTATATCAGCAATGTAAGTAAACTAGTATAAAATAAAAATTTTATTAAAATTTTAAAAATGTTGTTAATTCCAACTCTTCTGACAGTGGAACTGCCCCATAAGGTTTACAAGACTGTAAATTTTTATGGAAGCAGACTATTAATTCTTTCTCCTGCAAAGCAAATGATAGGTTCAAATTTCCACGTTTTCAGTTACCAGATCAATACTGTATCCACTCTGCCATCAAGGCTCTATGACTTCATTTAAATACATACTGTCTTTTTATATTTATTGGATGTTAACATTTGAAGAAATCAAGAAAAAATATAAATAAGGTATAAATAAGGCTTTTTTATCACTTCTTTGCTTAGAATATTTGACTTTTAGTAAATTTACAGGGAAATATTATGACACAGATTCAATGTAACACTAATTACAGACATCTTCAAATAACCTATTGTACTTAATTATTTATGGTAACATATTACTACATTTTAGAATCATAATTTTACCTTTGATTGATGAAATTTTGCAGTCGTATTTAGGAACTTTGCTGGAATATACCTTCTTCCAAACAGATGTGCTAATACTAATAATAATTTTTCCATAACATCTTGAGAAAAATGTTTTGAGCCTATTTAAGAAAAGTATCTTGTAAATAGGAAGTGTGGTGATCTCATTTTCATATTTATATAAATAACGTATGTTTTACTTAATTTAAATGAAAATGTATTATAACAAAAGCAAAAACTGAAGAAATATAATTAAAAGAAAATATTCCAGATATTAATTGTGGTAATATATAGATAATAAAAACATGCACTGTGTTACTTATAAAATAAAGCTTTTCTATACTTACACATCTTAAAATCTTTGTATTAGGACCACATATTATTTGTAAAAAATGTTATTATTTTTTAAATTATATATAATTTACTATGGAAACATTTCACTATCATCAAGAAAGAAGAAACAAAGTACAGCACATCCTTTGTGATTCACACAGACATTTCTGTGTGACTGACATCAAGTGTAAGGCTGAACTGTGGTAGAACTACCAGAAGTAGCAACAGCCATGGTACCAAAGAGGTGATACAGATTCAGAAACAGAGCTGAGCTAGAACTACCACCCCCTAAAAGTCAGAGCTCGGGCCTTATTATTATTGTTATTGTTAAAGGCTATTGAACTTAATACAACTCGGAATGACCATATGGGCAACTTTTTCTTTGTGCCATTCTCACGGTCTCTGATATGTTTGTCCATGCATATATAGTTACTCTGTCAAAACCTTAGCCAAAGGGGAGAAGGAACAGGTAGAACTAAAATATCGTTGAAACAATCCCAGAGTTTCAAGATAAGGTCCAGATTCTTAAGGCTGAAAGTCAGAGGAAGGCCTTGTGAGTACATCCGTGATGAATCTGTTCTGATTGAAGAATTCTATCTCAAATTGGAAACTTCTATTTCACTAATAAACGCTATAATTATGAAAAAATCATATATAATATATTCTGATACCTAAAGACAATGAGACACTGAAGTAAATACCATGGGATTTATGGATTTTTTTAATACATATACCTAAAACATTCAAATTCCAGGATTAAACTGACATGTTTAAATAGATGCCTCAAATATGGCTGTGTTCCATAGAATCTACATTAGTAGGTTTACACTGTATTTTCAACTTTAGGATATTTCTTTACAAATATATTGAGAGAAATATATGTCGGGAGAAGTATGGGCAATATTCTGTGGTGCAATTAACTCCTTCTGAAAAATCTGCTGAGGGTCAGTTATGGGTTGGTTATGACTCGACAATACGCAACAATAGATGGATGGATAGATGGATAGATTAGATAGATAGATAGATAGATAGATAGATAGATAGATAGATAGATAGACAGATAGATTTGGAAGCAGGAGTAGCATCTACTTCCTAAACAGGCCTCCAGAAACTTTATGAACTTTGATAAATGATGATAATTATAGAAAGGCTTCAGGCTTTTTAAGTCTTCAATTATTTTCAGTCTTTAATTATTTTGAATATTCCATTATTATGAGTCTTCAATAATTATAGAAAAGCTTCAGGTTTTATGAATCGTGTTAAACTCAATGGCAATAAACAACAATGACACTTTGTATTTTTCTTTCTACAGGTGGAAAAATAATTCTCCAAATTCTAGCTTTTTACAGTTTCTTTTAAATTTTTTGACAATATATATATGCAACTTAATGCTTACCTTTCCTGGTTGGTTGACAGAGCTTATGGAAAAGGCCACCCACAAGAAAACTGACAAAAACAATATTAGAAGGTTCATGATAATACAAATGTGATACGAGTCCAGCAAATCCCATCGGATTACCTTCGCGATCTAAAAAACCCTAAAGAATAAAAAAGAAATTATTAATTTGGCTAAAATCACCATACATATAAGTTAACTGTAACTTAAAAGGGAGTTCCTTACTATGGAGCACTGGTGGCTTAATGGTAAGGAAACATGTTGCCAAAGCAAAGTTATGGTTTGATTGGTTCGAAACCACCAGGTGCTCTAACAGAGAAAGATGGGCTATCTAATCCTATATGATTTACTGCCTCTGAAAACCTGCTGGTGGGTCAGCTATAGGTTAGTGCTTACTTGACAGTACACAACAACTACAGCAGCATAGATCATAGCAAATTGTACTGCTCTACCAAATGCTGAGTCTTTCTGGTAGTTCAAATCCACAAGAGACTACTGGAAAAAGATGCATGATGTACCATCCCAGGAACTTGTTAGAGGGTCAGCAATGTGGTAATTCTGATTAGATAGCAATGAGAGTGAGACAGAATATTCACAGACAGAATACTGGGTGTCAATGTAACAAATAATTATAATCATCACCAAGACAAACTTTGATAATTACATCAATTTGTATTGTTTGCTACCAAAGAGTCAGCTCTCAACTCATGGAGAACCATGCAAAATGGAATTTCTCTCTTACAATCCATCAGATTTTGACTGGTTGGTATTATACAGGCAGATAGACAGGCCTTTTTTCCTTGTCTGGAAATTCCACTAAATCTGTTTAGCATCATAGCTACATGCAAGCCTTCATTCAAAGACAACAGGTGTCTGTGTCTGTGGTGCATTGGCCAGAAAGCAAAACATAGAAGGCAATAAATTTTCCATTAACTATTAGTAAAGTTAATTACTTGCTAAAAACGAGTGCATTCAAAATGATAAAAAAAATATGGGCAGTATGAAGGGTATTAGATACACATACACCCAAAACAAAAATAAAACACAATCATACCTCTTTTACCAGTAACTGCAAAGAAAATATGAAGTAAAGTTTCAACATCTCCACTAGTCTGGGTTGCTTGAAGGACAACAATGAATGCTTTAGCACTGATAGCACCTTTAAGGAAGAGAACATTCATTTACCCAAAGATAAATGTTATGAAATATATTGATGTATTAATATACAAAGAATAGTTATTTCTAACAAAAATTATTGTTTTCTTGTACTATCAAGTCAGAATTGACTCATAGGTGACCCTCCAGAGGGTTTCCAGAGACAATAAATCATACAGAAGGTGATTGATAGCTCATCCTTCTCCCAAAATACATATTACTAGGCAGAAATTAAATACCATCAATATATAGGATTCAACTGGATTTTATATTGTTTTACATCATTTTATATGACAAATATTTTCTTCAACAAAAATTGTTGTTGTTGCTATATGCCATTGAGCTACCTGTGACCTGTAGCAACTCTAAGTACAGCAGCTCTGAAGTCTGCCCTGTCCTGAGCTAGTCTCATTGATTCCAACACATCAACTCCCACTAAACAAAATAAAGCAGATAAATTAGAACAATGAAAAACTGAAACCGTCTGAGACCAGTAATCTGGTAATTCTTTTAGTGATAGTATCTAAAACTGCCTGGAAGAAAAAAGTAGGGAAGCCAATCTAGTTTAAGAATTTATCACTCTTGTTGCTGTTTTTGCTATGTGCCATCGAGTCGCTTGCGATTCATAGCAACCCTGTGTACAACTCTGTGTACAGGCCCTAAACTCTGCTCTGTCCTGTGCCAATCCCACTGTCTCTAACACTCCCATCCCAATTATCTCAGTCACTGAATCAGTCCACCTCATAGAGGGCCTTCCCCTCCTGCGCTGTCCTTCCACCCTCCCAAGCATGATGTCCCTCTCCAAGGACCAGTCCCTCCTTACAACATGTCCAAAGTATGTTAGACGGAGCCTCAGAATCCTTATAGCTCTCAGATTATTCTATAATGAAATAAATACATTGCTCTGTTTATGAGCTAGAATTCATTTTTTGAAATAATGAAACTAGTGTATTTAAATCAAAGTAACAAAAACATTTCTTGGTTTCTTGTGTAAATGGTATTGAAGAAGTAATCTAGGTATCTATTAAATTCTTATTAAAATGCCCATTAAGTAGCTT